TAGCCCGTCGCTTTAATGGTTGGAATCAACATTCACCCGGCTAAAAAATTCGATTTTGGCGAAAGTCGACTTTCCCCTGGGAAAAACGAAAAATCTGACCCTTTGAAAATCTAAAAAAAAAACTATTTCAGTTTTCACTTTTTCGACATACTTTTGCGAGTTCTGAATAGCCCGTCGCTTAAATAGTTGGAATCAACGTTCACCCGGCTAAAAAATTCGATTTTGGCGAAAGTCGACTTTCCCCGAGAAAAACGGAAAATCTGACCCTTTGAAAATCGAAGAAAATTGAAGATGTTGAACTGATAGACTGATTCATTTATTCCAAACGAGATTCGTTAACTATTAACGCATAGTAGAGTTGAATATGACTAAATGAATATCCGTTAATAGTTAACGAGTGGTTCACTTGAGAAGTGAGAATCGAGTCAAACAAGGCTCCTCAAATGTGTATTTGTTCACTATTAACAAATGAACATTTGATGAGACCGAATAGACCCTCGTCTCCAACCAAATCCATTCGTAAACAATAACTAATCCTTTCTATCAGTGTAGGATCATAGCGCGAGTTGTGAAGGAATCGCTATTATATTATTTCACGCACCTACATTAACTCCCACATTCATAGACATCTATCCCATGTTTACTATGTCACACATGTATCTGTATCAAGGTCACATTCCGGGTTTTAAAAATATCATCTCCTGTTTCTTTCTGATAATTGGAATTACTGTACGGTAATAGGAGCAAACCGGTAGTAAAGTAAAAATTTCCATGCTTCGAGTGAATTTTTGTTGGTCTTTTCAACATAACTTTAGTAAACACATAGTACGCATCCCGGAAGAGTACACGGACAGCATAGTAAAATGAGCAGCACCGCAAAAGCTCAAGCACATAGCACGTTAAAAATTCAGTGGTGTCATAACAAACTTCACTGCTGGCAATTTGCGTTACATGGAGAAGGCCACAAGAGTATTCTCACCAAGAGGTCAACACTGTTAAAAAATTTTGTCTGAAATTTCCGGTACACTTTTTGGAAATTTTTATCAAATTTAATTACCACTGACATTTCAAGGAATTTCGTAATTGAAAATTCCGAATTTCGTGGAAAAATCAAAGAGAGCTGTAAATTTCAGTTCCAGTTTTCCCTGAAAATGAATAGAAAACCAGAAAATTACGATAAATATATTCTTGAATTTTCAGAACAGTGACACTGAATGCGATTTAAGGGGAAAAAAACATGAAATTTCGAAACGAAATTAATTCCGTTTTTAATTTAAAACCATTGATCAATATGAGAAGAATTATTTCACGTAAGAAGTATCTTTTCTGGATTCAATAAGGTATCACCGCAATCACGTAAATTTTTCTGATATTTTTATCTCCTGCAACGAGTAAAATGCTTTTATTCAAAAACCAATATAGACAGGTGGGGAAATTGCTTTTATATCAATATAGTATATTTTTTTGGTAATAAATTAACAATATGCTTCCAAATAATCATCTGGCACATCATCTACTTCTGTAGTATAAATTCATCTTCTCATATAATTTTATTAGACTCAGGGAAATTTTTTCGTTAAACAATTGTCTCATATTTCTAATTAAGCTTTTTAAATATTTGATAAAATTTCAAGTATGAAAATTTTTTCATATTTGAAATTTCATCAAGAAACTCACTATATTACCAGTATATAATTTGGATGGTATAGAGAAATATCTGTACCAACAAATGCTAAACTAAATCTAAACTAAAAATGACATATCCGGACTTTTTGGATTATAATAATTTAATATGACACAAATCGGAAACTTGAATTTGACAATTACAATGCTTCCATTCGGGCGCAAAAACCTGTGATTTTCTCCTTATCCACCCATTTTTCCCCTCTATCGTATCAAAATATATATTTTCCGGGGTAATCCGAGGTATTCGTCAGTCGAATTTACGTCCAAAGTGGAAAAATTAAACCCCAGTCGACGATAAACCCCAGGGATGGGTATACATGAGCGTGAATCTGTCCCGTATCTCTCGTTTTTTCTCGTGAGAATTTCATCATATGTCCCACCCATGTCTCTCAATACAGGCACATGACACCGTTTTTCCCCGTCCCCTGAATATCCAACGAAGTGGCAACGAGCAAGATACTTGTTCTCGCCGATTGGTCGTTTCTGTTTTCACTTCGTCTGTAGTATTATAGCCCATCTTCACAGCATACCACCGGGAGTAGGAGGAACAACAAACGGAAAGCGGTGGGAAAAAAGCTTTTGCCGTTGGACGAAGGTTATAAAAGTTATCCTGCAAAGCCGACGTTAGTTTAGTGTGGGTGAGACACTCAAGAGTAGGTCGGTCGTGGAATAAAGCAAGAGCAAGAACTCTCGACATAATGGTCAGTCCACGGATTTTTGAATTACCCCAGTTTGCTACGTATAAAGTGTTCACATTCCGCTTAATGGAATGAGAGATTAATAAAAATATAATCCCTGTTGTGTTCTATTCTGTTCTGGTTACGAATTCACTTTATTGCTTTGAGAGTGGAAATGCCCCAGTCATTCGATATCAAGTGTCGTTAGCCTGTGATTTATCGCTCGACAAATCTCGGAATGAGGAGAATCATTGAAACAGTTAAAAGTAGTTGGTCATTGTAAAGGGAACCGCCGCAGCGCATCTTTTTTTTCTTGCGATTGACGGGTTAACCGGAAATAGTCCCGTCTGAACTTGAAGATATAACCGATGAGAAAACTGAGAAAAAAAAAGTTTTTTGCGAAGTACGTCTTTACACGAAGAAAAAAATTCCAGAAAAATTACTGTGCCAGCACGGTAAAATGGGTTCGCTTGGACGGACCTAGAAAAATTACCGTGCCAGCACCGGAATTTTTCACGTTAAATCCGAGAAAACTTTCTGTAGCGTACGGCAGAAATTCCGGAAATGAACCTATTTTACCCTACTACCACAGTAATTTTTCTGGAATTTTTTTCTCCGGGTACTTGTATCAAGCAGTTTGTCACCATTAAAAATTTTTGTCTGAATTTTAGTTGCCAAATTCTGGAAATTTTTATCGTGTTCAAATTCCAGCGAAATTTCAAGGAATCTTGTTATTGAAAAACTAACTATTCCATTGATTTTCTGTTTAAATGATCTTGAAATCAATAAAATACTTGATTTTTTAGCTCTATTATTCTGTGAAAATTTAGAAAAATCAGGAAAATTCCAAATTCACGTTATTTTGAATATTCATGTTCCACTGAAAATTCAATCAAGTTGGGAAATTCCCATCTCACTTCCACTGAAAACTCATGAATTTCGGTGAATTCTACTTAAAACTTGAAATTTCATAACCTTTTTTTCCCTAAATCCGATTCATTGTCGCTCTCATGAAATTTCCTGTAATCTACTACAGAGAGCCGCTACTGATTAGAAAGATCGGACGCTAGCATTTTGATCAGGCATGGATCCAAATAAGCGTTACATGTCAGATACAAAACTGATCGAAATAATTTTCTACTGATCAGTTTCATCTTCTAGCCTAACTCGAGTTTCCACTTGGGTTTCGGTCACTATCCCTCTTTCAGAGTAGAACACAGTTCAATGATTGTAAGAAGGCATTAAAGGTCATAAATTGAAGTATTTAGAAAAGTATAGTATTCATCACTATAGTATAATATTCGCCAGTATAGTATAAGATTCGAAATTCCTGGAGAATAAAAACACTTCAAACAAATGATTGATTTTTTTCGACTTTAAAGGAAATCGTCCGTTGCGCGACGTTACCGAAAACCTGCTAAACGCGTAGTAATATAGAGCGAATTTGACAACACTGGAGGCCAAAGACCCCGGCGTAAATCCCTTACGATGCGACCAAGTTTAAAACTCGCGCGTTGTAACCAAACAGAGAATAGTATCTTTCGATACGAGTGCGTAAAAGGCATGGGCGAGTGCTATCCTCCCAAGGGTCAAAGAACACTTCTCACGAGTGTTGAACCCTATTCTTTATCACAGTGTGTGGAAAGTAGAATTTCGCCCACGCGAAAGTAGGATTGTGCGCAAAATTTCACTTTACACACAAGTGATGAAAAAATAGTTTTAGTTTTTAGAAATGTGTATTATTCTAATGATTGATAAGTAAAAAATCCTTAAACCGAGTGATTTATTCGTCTCTTTCCAGTGATATAATCCGAAATCTTCAGAATGTACTCCCGAAATTTTACTGACCTCTAGTTAGTGTTATGGATCCCTCTAAATTAGGGATAGATTTTCTCAATATTGAGGATCGATTAAAAACAAAAACTTTTTTTCTGTGAACTAGGTTTTACCTAAAATCGATTCTGTCTTGATAATTGCAATCAATCTTTTTTGTTGATTAAAGAATTTATGGATCATTCTTAATAATGACTTAATCGCCTTGCAATTATCGAGACAAATCTCGTACCTATCAATCATCAATTCCAGTAGAATTTGCAGTTTTGCAATTTTTATTTCCCCCCTACTTTCATTCACATGGAGCTCAAAGATGAAAGGTATGTCGATGCAATTTCACTGGGGCTTGTTTGTCGGATCGATATGAACCCGCGTTCACCATGCAGTTTTCCGATTTCCAATTAAATCGCTTTCGAGTATTTTTCAACTCTCGAATCCACCACTTCAATCACATAGATAAAATGTAACATGCATTAATTCAAACGTTATGGTGTTTTTCAGGATGACGAGCAGACTAAAAGTGAGTACAAGTAATTCCTCATTTACCATTCCCTGTGTGAAACTTTAAAATCGAGGGCACTTAATTATATCTACGCGGCGAAAAATTCCCGACAATAACGCATTTATTCGTCAATATTCCCCGGTCTGTCCCTTGATAATCTATAATGAACCGGTATTCATAAATCACACGTATTATATGTGATTCGTGAGGACTTTCTGGTTGGGGATTTGATCGATAAATTTTGGAAACACGACACTCATTCATCCGTGTAACTGCGTCAACAAGTATATCGGCTTTGCCATTCGTATATAATTTTCCGGTGGGCGACAACACTACCCGCGGGGTTGGGATTTGGGTCAGTGAATTTTGTCGTTACGCGAGAGGTGGAACATGTATAAACTACTGCTGCAAATCGTCATTGTGAGTTTGATGTAAACTCCGTGATTTCAACTGCTATTTCGGATTGTCGAATTTACATTACAGATAACCCCTCGGGTCAAGTGCGGAAAGTTTTGTGAATCTCGAAATTTGAATTATTCAGTTTTTAGGTTTTGTTTTTATTTTAGTTCGTTCGTTCCGGAAGGAAAATTTTGCAAGTGTTAGTATATTTCAGAGCGAGTGCCATGGGGTCTTTACTCGGGCGGAGTTTGCGTCCGAGCCGAAAGTGAGGACTGGCCAACCACGCGAGTAAATAAACCCTACGACACTAGTCGTGAACGATGTTTTTCCGTAGTGATTTCCACTTTTATGAGTTTGAGGAAGGGCAAATGCCAATCCCCAGACGAGAAAAAATGCAGGTCAGCAAGGAAAAACTTTTTTCAATATTAAAATTTTATCTAAAAAGTCCTTGGAATGTTGCCTTTTCATTCAGCTTTAAGTGTATGGAATTGTTTGGGCCATTCTTCATTGAAATGCTTTTGAATATTTGTGCTCCATTTGACCCTAGGGTACTGTATATTTTGAAAGATTTCACGTGAACCGTAGAAAAACTTTTTGAAAATCTGAGGAAAATAAGAATGGAATTGGTAGAAGTAAAAAATGAAAATGACAAATAACACATCAAGTCACAGTCACATCTGACAGAACGGCTTGGTCCCCTGCGTGTTGCTTGAGATATTAATAGAAATTGTGACAACCGAATAAATTTCAAAATGTATCTTCTCTCACATTTTTTATAATTAAGGAGAAAAAATTAGTGATCATGCAAAAAAACTATTGAAAAAAATACGTTGGAATTTTTATTAAGTTGACTTTTCAATAAACAAAAAATTTCAATTCCTAATTTTGAGTGGACGCAGATAATTTTAACTGACAAAATCAGATTCCCGTGGAAAACTCCCGCGGGTAATAGTATTTTTAATATTTTTTTTTCTGAAAAACCAAAAAGTTTTTTTATCCGGCTGAACCTCTCCTCAATCTTTGAATAAATTACTGCAAAATATTATTCGAAAAACGCTGATTATCTATAATGTTTTTGAAATTTTCTTACGAAATTTATTTAACAAAATTGGTAATTCAAAATCTCTCAATCTTCTCAATTACTATTAATATCCTCAAATATTCTGAGATGCAGATAAATATTCGCAGATAAACCTGCTGATATTGTTCTTGAGAAAATGTCTCCGGAAATCCAAAATTGAAATGAATAATTCGAATTTTTTAGACCAATAGAAAAAGTCTGTTGATTCATTAATTCTTTCATAAAATAAAATGATTTTTTTCCACGAAATGTATATTTCTTCATTATATTAATCGACAAATTAATTCTTCACTTACATGGATATTTCCACAGAGGGCAAAGGTGTTTTTTTTCCTCGCTCTTTCAAATCTCTTCAAAATTGAGAGTTTTGCTCATCACATAGTACTACCGAGTTACTTCTATAAAAGATTTCCACCCAGTTCCGTTACGTATGAGATATAATAATTTCTCAAAAACCATTCTTTCGGAATATCAGAAGAACCATTCACAGAGAAAAAAAGTGGATTAGCTTTAGAAAATAGTTTCTAGATTTTAGAAACTTTATTCTAAAGCAAATCCACTTTTTTTTCTGTGTTGAACCAATTCCAATTTTTTTACAGCAAAATGTTTGTCTCCGTTCAAATCGCAATATAAATGCTGACCTAAAAAAGTGAAATATTCATTGCCCTTTTCAATTTTTTTTGCCAAAATTGTTTATTTATTATTTCAAACTGCACCGAAATTCCAGGGAGTGACCCTGCCGCCTGCAGATGCTTTGGCTTCTGTTTAAGACTGATTATTATTCTACCGTGAGAGTAAATAAACAGAGTTCGACGTATATTGATGCATTTGGCAAACTCCATCGTCGATACGAAATTGGAATTGCGTTTTTGGAGGAGATAAAAATGGAATTGGTTTCGTCACGACCGCTGATATGTCATGCGTGACTGCCAAAAAAATGACATTTCACATTTTTACATACCACCGAAATTGATGGCCAATTTTATCTTGATTGTTACCAGTGTTAAAGAGAGCGTTCTCCATGTTCGACTCTGCGAAAAACGGAAGAATTGAAAAAGAGAAAGTAAAGACTATTCTCAACACCCTGGGCCACACATTCGACGACCAGGAGCTAGAGGTGCTACTCCAGAAGGAAGACGAAGACGGTGAGAATTGAGAACTAATGACTCAGAAATTAGAACCTAAACGTTTTTCCTCATGAATTTTACAAGCGATTATTCTCCAAGGTCGGCTTATAAAGTAAACTCCCTTACACAAAGACAATTGATTTATCGATTTCCTAAAAACTTGTACAAATGATGACGTACACAAAGCATAAGCCTTCCACTTGAAATATAATCAGAGTGCAAACGCTTTGTTTTGAGATTTCTCTGCACTGTTAAAAATTTTCGTCTGAATTTTTCGTGCTAAAGTCCGGAAATTTATATCGTGTAATATTACAAGGATTTGACCCTTACATTATTGAAGGTTTAAAACATGTTGATTCAATTTTTCAAATAATATAATATTAATAATCTGATTTTTACGAATAATGATATATTTAAAATTTGCTAATATGAAACTGTAAATTTACTCCTAAATGAATAATTCAAATTTCTTGAAAGGGGATTTTCGATTACACAAGTGATCATCAATCTTCCTACCTCGATTATTGATTGATAAAATAGTTGAAAATTTGAATATTTGAATTGATGATATTTAAGTACTCAAAAAATTTCAAGAGTGATGTTATTTGCTTGATGGCTACAATATTTAACCGTAATAAAATATTACAATTTGTCTATCCCTGAAAATAACTCATAATTACAATAATAGTATGCGTTCGGGTACTCCTACCCTGACGGCAGTAGTGACAATTTCACACCCAGAAAATCTTCACGCTCCTCCTCTCCCCTCCCCATTAAAGTACCCCACGGATGTCGTTCCACAATTTTATCTTCAGCTATGTATACATATCATCGACGGCCTTGAAGAACGAGCGTAAATACCCCTCATATCCGAATTTTGTCATAGTGCCTCTCAAGATAGTAGTCGGATTCTCGCGACCTATATAAATCCGCGACCTAAATGAGTCATCACTTCGGGCACATGACCCACCTCATTCCAGCATCTCCCATAACACTCACAAACTCAATTTAACGACCCCCGTACGGTACACTCTCCAAAATAGAATTCCTGAAACACTGAACCGATGAAGCACTCAAAAAATGCCATTTTTCTGGTTAAATTCTTTTCATTGCCATATAACCCATAACCATGGCAACGTACCTCCAGCGTTCATCTGCAACGCACACAGCATTTGCATGACAAACGTAAAACCCGGACGTTACTCCCTCAAAGATTAAATGCAACGGGTACCTGCAGATGCATCTCCATCGTGAACCGAGAGAAATGTGCGTATCGTTGTGCAGCGAGGAGACACGTATACCACGGAGATAAACCGGATGAAAAGTGGTTCAGTCTGCAGCCAACGGTGTAGTTATCCTCGTCAATATTCGATCATGACCAGGCCCTTTCAAATCCCCACACGATCCTCTTTTTTCCCATACGCATTACAAACACTGCATAATCTGTCGATACATACTTTTTTCTCACGTTACGCATTGACAGATTCATTCTGCTGCACGACAATAAAGGAATGGAATAAACGTTACTTTTTAGAGCCACTGAGACCGCGGGAATTGTTTTGGTAGCCGTTGTGCATAACGATTAAAGAGAATAGAATAGAATTGTAAATTGTAAATTGTAAATTCCCAATAGACAGAACGGAGCGCTACACAATTTTTATTCATTCTATTACCTGGTCTTCTCGTATGAATTCCCAACTACTTTGGAGGACGTGCTCGACTGGTGAAACAAGGATATCAGTGGAAAATCGTTCTAGTGATGATGAATTTTTTGTCAGACAGCAGTAGAGTGAAAGGAAAACTCGGTGAAAAACCGCGTTTATTTTTATCTGTGCACTACGTAAGACTCGATCAGTTGATCGAGCATCCGGGAAAAATGCAATTTTAGGAATTCATTGCACTCTGTGAAATGCAAATGAATATTGTAATTATAGCAAAAAAGCTGCACTTCGAGAGGAAAACACTGAAATTGGACCTTGATTCGTTTGAATATTTGTTCCTTCGAGATTACGCCGCATATGAGTCTTATTCGAGGAATAGTCTTGCAATAGGGAATTGTCGAGAAACTATGTAATGAATCACGGCTCTCCCTCTCTATAAAGATCAGAAAGATGAAAAAAAATGGCCTAAATGGTGAGTAAGAATTTCACCACGGGTAGCCTCCAATACTGCGATCTGATTGGTCGAAATCGGATTGGGAAAAATAATCAATAAAAATTACATATCTTTTCCGTAATTCCGCAACGAAATGTCGTTTTAGGGAATTTTACGGAACTGTCACGGAATTTTTCCAGAGCGTTCCGTAATTTTTATCCGAATCTGCTGTGAAAAATTACGATACCGTCATTAAATTTCCTGAGTCGATTCCGTAATCGGTGAGTGAATTGTGAGTTCCGTAATTTTTACTGAACATTTCTCTCCGTGAGTGTGTTGACCGTACCCCTCCAAGTGTTGAAATATGATAAACTTCTGAGAAATAATAAACCTCCTTCAATTCTCTCTATTAATTTCCGAGAAATTATACAGCTCAGGAGATCCCTTATAACCCGCTCCCGTCTGTCTTATCTCACCATGTCACTACTGAATCGGCGTACGAGAACAAAAAGGTAGTCGTAAAAGCGGAGATGGTTGTTGTTAGAACCCACACCAGATGACACTCTTCCTCGTACGTTCACGCGAAGTCATGAGGGGAAAGTGGCTTTTTGGTAAATGTCCTACCACGATGATATGTAACTCTCGTGTAATGGGTCAGACTTAAGCCGTGTCACCTGAATTAGTCTTGATCCCCTGTGTTGCTTGAAAACAGAGGCTAAAAGAGCGTTATATGCGAGGGTTTTCCCGAGGGGTTATGCACTTCCTATTCAGACTATATCTCCCCAAACATTCCCCTGTATGGAACCAGTGAAGAGGCGACTATTATTATTCCAGGCACGTCGTTGCTATCAATGTTCGATCAGGATTCCCCCACAGTTGATTCAGATTTAATCCTTTGATGCGCGTTAGACTCTCCGAGCGTTCATTATCGAGAGCTCCAACTGGTGGTGAACTAATCGAGCTAGAAACTCATTATCGAGGATAAGTGCAATAGAGTTGGAGGGATTTTGGCAGTTTAATGTGGAAAGTTTTCAAGTTTTTTTGTTTGTTGATATTTTAGGAAGTGGAGTCGTAAATTTTGATGCGTTCTGTCGGGTGGCCTGTCACTTCCAGGAGGAGGACGATGAGGCCCTCCAGAAGGAACTGAAAGAAGCCTTCAGGTTATATGATAAGGAGGGAAATGGATACATTCCCACGAGCTCACTCAGGGAGATTCTGGCTGCCCTCGATGACCAGATAACGCCCGATCAAATGGACGGAATGATCGCGGAAATCGATACCGACGGCTCCGGCACAGTTGATTTCGACGGTAACTTTTAAACTCCTTAAACTCTAATTATTTATTTCAACGTTTATTTTCAATGAATTTCTTTCTCTAAACTCATTATGTGTGCTTCAAAGTTACTTTTCTTAATGTGTCAAATACTTTTTCGTCTTCTGGATTCAACTCGACTGAAATGAAACCAACTTGCATTCATTATCATTCTTATCACGATTTCCATGAGAGTGGGAGTGAGAAAGAGCGCGCGGTGAGAAAACTGGGATTAAATTTCTTGGGACAAATGAGCCCACAGAAATGAGGCTCTCTCCTGCTGTTTCTCTCTAGAGGGGGCTAAGATTTTAATTGCACCGAGAGCTCGAGGCTTCGGCACTGTTTCTTTTACACTTTGTGCATCCGATTCTGGGGTTTTTGGATTCGCTATTTGTGGGCACTGTGTGTGTAGGTAATAATCCGCGGCCTTGTACATAATGAATGAAAAAAAGGTATGAAACCATCGGTGCATCGTTGGGAATTAAAACCGTCGCTTTTCTTTGTTTCAGAATTCATGGAGATGATGACCGGTGACTGAACCTGAATACTCTTTTGAAAAATGCCATTTATTTATCAAATAAGGAGACAATTAAGAACAAACCAAATATACAGATAATTTATCGATTAAAGAATCATCAGTACATGATTGGATTTTATTTGTCTTCGAATTAATCCCTGGTAATACCCCTGCACGGAGAGAAATATTCAATAGAAATTACGAATCCTTTTCGTAATTCCGGAGCGCAATATGGTTTCAGGAAATTGTACGGAACTGTTACGGAATTTTTCCAGTGTTCCGCCGTAATTTTTACCTGAATGTCCTGTGAAAAATTACGATACCGTCACTTAAATTTGCTGAGGCGATTCCGTACCCTAGTGGAAATTTTGGTCAGGTCTTTCGGATTGGTCAGGTCTTTCGAATTTCGGATTTTCCAGTAGGGTAATCGGTGAGCGAACTGTGAGGTCCGTAATTTTTACAGAGCATTTCTCTCCGCGTGAAAAAAAAGCGGCTTAGGGTCATTTATAAATGGACTTGGTTCCAGTATTGAAGACGATTCACAAATTACATTGCAAAAAAAATTCTAAAATTACGTCTGCACTGATAGAAAAAGTATTTTTCCTGAAATAAGTATTATAGACGTGAACCAATTTCAAATAAATATAATAATAATATAATAATATGATGATAATTTTTAAACACAAAATAAGTTGGAGTTCAAGTAGTTTGGATCATAGTCTTTCTTCTTGAATCCAGAAAGTATTTCTTGGTGTGCACAATTTAGTAGCGACGCGGTAAATCGGGTTAAGTCGATTTTGCCTTTTGGCCAATTTTTTATGAATATCTTGGAATCTAAGAGAGATGGCAAAATTTTTCTCATTACCTTTTTTATCACCCTCAATTATTTTTACAAAAAAAAGTCATGAGAACAATTTTTCTATCTCTTTTAGATTCCGAGATATTTGTCAAAAGCTGGTCAATAGTCAAAATCGATTTAACCCGGCTTACCGCTTAGCTACTGAATTCAGCACATTTAGAAGTGAATATTCATAATTTAATTGAAAATTCAATTAAGTTAGAGAATTCTCGTTGTCTGGCTCCTCAAAAAACTAAAATTGCCTCGAGTTCTCACTCAAATTGAAAACTTCATAATTTCTCCCCCTAAATTTAATTCAACGTCATTTTCCCGGAAATTACTACAATAAATGGCGAGAGCACAATTCAATTGACTGTTACAATATTGCTGCTCTCGTATGTATCAATTCGAAATTCAAACGTCCAGAGTAATTCTCTCCGCGATATTTGAATCGATTGTAGTGATACTAAAAGAGCATTTATCACTGCAAAAATTGACTTTCAATTCCTAAAAAATTCCCAGCTCCTGATTTAAACCCATTCTCATTCTCCATACTGATGTATAGCCGTATAATTTCGAACACCGGACACAATAGTGTCCACAATTCTCGCCCAGTGGACCAACTATACAGCTCAGAAGTGGAGCATATATCTTTGTGAGTGCCCAGGAGTCCCAGGCGGAAGATTTTAATCACGCTGGTCGCTCGCTTTAAAGCCCACCCCTGCACCCCATCCTCCTCTCCCACCAACTTCTCTACTATTCCACTGGACCCTACGGAGATTAATGGATTTCCACGAAAAGGCACGAGACACTCGAGTGTTCGGTCCCCTCACTTTTTTTTCCCTCTAAAACCCCTTTCTATCTTCTTTCCCCTTTGTTTTCTCCGACTACTCTTTTCACTTTATTTTATTCTGAGTCGGCGGGATAGGAGAAGCTTAACCACAGAGTGCAAAATCCTCGTCTAAATATTCATCGCTTCGTAAGCGATGAAGGAATGCAAATGTTGGATAGGTAAGGCCGCCTGGATGGATTCTCAAGGGCTCAGAGGGTCCTCTCTCCACCTGTCCACTGGGATCCATCCTCTGGATGTAATGGTCGCACTGACGACTGTTTAAATGTGATACACAATGACTGCTTGAGTACAACTGCTTGATTACACCTGTCTCCTGACCCACATGAAATAATACATCAAGTTTCGTAAAAGGTCACGGGGGGAGTAGATTAAAAGCTCACAATTGACTGCTTAACGTTAACCCTTAAGTGGTCGCATAGTGACGGAATCCCCCTTTTTCAAATCCCGTTCTTGGATTATCTGTACTGAGAGAAAAATATAATTCTTCTGACTATATTCCATCACCATCGAATTATAGTCAAAAAGTCCTCAACAATTTTT